GAGAATTTTTGGTGCGCTCAAATCCTTCGGAAAAACTCGATTTGGACAAGAAACGGAGAAAGTGACCAAAATACCCCAAGGATTTATTAAAGGGCAAGCTTTAAGGGTAAAGGGCATTTTGGTAATTTTGCCCTCAAATTTTGATTGGACAATTTTACCCTTGGATTTTTGGGAAATTACAAGTATGCCCTTGGATATTTTTGTGCAAGAATCGATCTCGACCGTCGGATCAAGATAAGATCGAATCGGGACCGTCGGATTAAAAATATGAGGAAAGGGTAATATGGTCATTTTCCACTTGGTCAAATGGGCACTATTTAGTCCAAGGCTCATCTTTCTCGGGATAAGTACAGCGCAAGTGCCATAACTTTTGTAAGGAGGACACTTAAGTGCCATAACTTTTTTTTTTTGGCTCACTTGAGTGCCATAACTTTCAAAAAAATGATCACTCAAGTGCCACTTTCGAGCTGATCGTGAGGGCCCGAAACCGCGGCTTTTCCGGTCGAACGGTGACCTTCCCGGCGAGGCGAGCACCACCAGCTTGAAGAAGGGGTGTCGGTGAATCATTCCATGGTCTCCGTTCGTCTCGAAATTTCCGTTTTAGCCTCCGTTGACGAAGGTAAAAATGCTTCGTAGTCACACAAATTGGCTCGATAAATATGTGACTACGAAGCATTTTTACCTTCGTCAACGAAGGCTAAAACGGAAATTTTGAGACGAACGGAGGCCATAGAATGATTCACCGACACCCCCTCTTCGATCTGGTGGTGCTCGCCTTGCCGGAAAGATCACCGTTTGGCTGGAAAAGCCGCGGTTTCGGGCACTCACGACCAACCCCTCTGACAAGCTGGTCGTGAAGGCCCGAAACCGCGGCTTTTCCGATCGAACGGTGACCTTCCCGGCGAGGCGAGCACCACCAGCTTGAAGAGGGGGTGTCGGTGAATCATTCCATGGCCTCCGTTCGTCTCGAAATTTCCATTTTAGCCTCCGTTGACGAAGATAAAAATGCTTCGTAGTCACACAAATCGGCTTGATAAATTGTGTGACTACGAAGCATTTTTACCTTCGTCAACGGAGACTAAAACGGAAATTTCGAGACGAACGGAGGCCATGGAATGATTCACCGACACCCCCTCTTCAAGCTGGTGGTGCTCGCTTCGCCGGGAAGGTCACCGTTCAACCGGAAAAGCCGCGGTTTAGAGCCCTCACGATCAGCTCGAAAGTGGCACTTGAGTGATCATTTTTTTGAAAGTTATGGCACTCAAGTGAGCCAAAAAAAAGTTATGGCACTTAAGTGTCCTCCGTACAAAAGTTATGGCACTTGTGCTGTACTTACCCCCATCTTTCTCTCTCTCCATTCTCTCCTTCTTTCCCCCAAATTGCCGTGAGCTTCCCCCTCCTCCACCGTGGGCTTTCCTTGGCCGTTCTTCCTCCACCGCTGGCACCGCCGCTCGCCGCCGAACGCCGGACCACCATCAAGCCGCCGTCCACGCCGCCCTCAAGCCACCACCATCCTCAAACCTCACCATCTCTCTCTTTTCCTCTCTCTCTCACCATGAACCACCCCCGGCCGTGCAAGACCCACGCCGCCGCCGGACCGCCGCCGCAAGCCGATCGCCGTCGCCGAGCTTCGCCGCCGTCCCCGCCGTGTCCGTTTAAGTGCCGTCGCTTTCCGTTCTAGCCGCGATAGTCTAGAACGCGGGTAAGTCGCGCTCTAAACCTAACTTAGGACTTCGGGTATCGACGGGCGATTTTTGGGCGAAATCTGTATAAAGTTAGGTGCGGAATGGGATGAATTGGGCGTGGAAATTTTGTGGCGGGCCTTAGGTTTTAATTCGGGCAATATTTATTGGAAATTCGAAAATAACAGTGGCTGTGATCTACTGTTCATGGGGCCGTGATGGGCCGATCAGGACGCAAGTTGGATTTTTAGAACCGAGAATTTATGGCGAGAAAGTGTTGTGAAGGATCAGAATTAATCCGACGCCATTTGGTTGGAGAAAATTGGCAATTTACGTGTTTTAGGCATGTTTGAATTATTCTGCATGGGGTTGATTTAATTGAGTGCTTATTTGTGTGTTTATATAGTGGACATATGTCTGTTTGGTGCACGCGTGGGCCAGATCGAATTAATTATTGATATTGGCCATGTGAATTGTTGAGTGAGCTTTGTCTGCGTGTGACTCGATGCGTGCACGGATAGCGTATGATGGGCCAGTTGCGTGTGGTAAATGCATATCGAGTATGTGCATGAGTAAGGAGAAGTTGTGGTGTGACAAGTGATTGTGGGAAAGTATGCGAAGGTGTGATAGTACGAGAATGGGATCGAGCCGAGTATCGTAAACTCGGGCAGCGATCACGTAGGTCTGTTGCATTTGGCACAGGCTGAGGCTTGAAAAAGCAAGTATGAGAATCGGTCCGAGGCACGATCAGCTCGGGTGAGACCGGGATTGGACCGAGGCATCATGAGCTCGGGTTCCAATCATGTAGGCCTGTAGCATTTGGCGCGGGCTGAGTTGGGATCGGGCCTGGGGCGTGTGATGCTGAGGTCGCGATTGGGGCCTGAGGCGTGAACTGGTACGCGGGCCGGATGTGGTGAATGATCGCAGTGTGCCTGAGGCATGTACTCCAACGCAGGTCACTGGCGAGGAATGAGAAAGAGGAAATGAGAATGGAAGGAACAGTGGGATGAGAATGGTACATGCGCGTGTTTGCATCTGATGTAATTGTGATTGAGTGCGGGTGTGCGCATGATTGAGCCTGACCATATTAATTGATGTGCCTGCTTTGTGATTACTTGATGTACGTGAATGTGTGTGATTGCGTAATTGTCTGGAGGTACGTGATAGCCTAGGTGGGGTTTAGGGGTGAACTTACTGAGAAGTGTTCTCACGGTTGTTTCAACCGACAATTTCAGAACCCCGACAGGAACCATGAATCCCCCACCGCAGCCACCAGAGCGTTTTGGGGTACCCGTGCACTCCGAGTTGGACGTTGCAGAGTTTCCAATGGGAGATGGAATGACCTGGATTAGGCACACTACTACCGTTTTCGTAGATATAGGTTTGCCCCTGTGGGAGGAACAGAAGTACACTGCCTGATTTTTCCGAGATGCAGACGGGGATGAGTTCGGGCCCGTTAGGGGCTTCGATGTCCCGTTTGATTTAGTAGGGGATTGGGACCCGACGGCCGTACCCCCGATAGATGGAGAGTTGACTAGTGTGGATACTAGTTTAGCTTAGTTGGGTTTGCATTCAGCGGCCGCAGCTCAGGGATCTTCAGAGGCTGAGCATGAACCCGAGCCCGAAGCGTCGCAAGCTGAAGACGATCCAATGGACATTGATCTAGAACCGATCCCCGAAGAAGAACCAGAGGAAGCAGAGGCTGAGGTAGAACCCGAAGTGGAGCCCGAAGTGGAACCCGAGGACGAACCTGGCGAGTCTGAAGAGCCTGTAGGAGATCCGGAGTATATACTCCCGTTTAATCAGTATATGGATCCCAATTTCATGCCTGAGTATAATTTCTTCGATTTTCTGGCTGAGGAGTATCAGAACGCAGCTCCAGCTGAGTCGGGCGACATCAATCACCCGATTGTGATCGAAGCAGAGTCAGAGCCCTCAGAGGAGCAGACTACTCAAGAGAGTTCGGAGTCGGGAGATGAGGAGTCAGACTCAGAATGGACGCCTAGCAAGGGGCGTTAGGGGTTAGTTCAAGGGTTCCTAGTAGGTTTTTGGAAAGTAACATTTTTGGGAATAGAAAGCCAGGTCATCGATCTTTTTGGTATATCGATGGTTTGTAACACGGTGTGCAAGTGTATGCGATGGTGGTAAAATGTGGCGGTTGTAAATTGTGAATATCCTATAAGTTGATAATGGAAAGAAAAATGTATATTCTCCCCAGTTTTATTTGTCAAGGATTAATTGTTAGTATCCGCCGTGGTTGTAAATCTCTGATGGCGATTTGAGGTCGGCGACATTCCTGGGATGTCGCATAAATCGACTAGTGGCGGACGTCGTGTGCCCGTTGGGGTTCGAGGCATGACACTATTTCTTTCTTACCATGGCTTACTCTTTTTAACTCCATGGTACTGCTGATCGATGCTTTTGGGCTCCTTTCTCCTTTTGTCTATTCAAAATGTGCATTCACGACAGTGTAGAACTTTGTGGAACAATTGCCAAGAGATAAAAAGATTAAGCTATGAAATAAAGATGTGGTTTACTATTTAAACGTCATAATACTCCGCCTCTCTTGTATGCTAGGACTTCGCCTTAGATTGAAGTGTAAAATTTGATAATCGGGGAGGTAAATAGGTAACAGGGACAGTTTTGAATGGAGTACCTCCTACTCTAGTTCCATGTGGAATTTTATGGGACTAGTGCTAAGTGATCAAAAAGCGTAAGTTGTTGGGTAGAGATGTGGTTCGATATTTGAATGTAGTAAAGAAATTACCCTTCCCACCAGAAGGGCTAGGGCTTTGTCTCCTTGAAAACACTGGCAAGTCCTGTCAATATTGTGCTTATAGCCCACAATTATCACATAAATGGCCTCTCTCTCTCTCTCTCTCTCTCTCTCTCTCTCTCTCTCTCTCTCTCTCTCTCTCTCTCTCTCTCTCTCTCTCTCTCTCTCTCTTACAGCGACTTTGGGGCAGGACTCGATAATTTCACATGAACATTCCTAACTTCTATCCTCCTTGCATGAATTGGATAGCAGACTAGGCTCCATTTCTTTAATGAATTTTCCAGTATAACTTTATTTGTCAGAGACTCTAGAGTACGTTGTTTAGTTCGAACACAGCTTGCAGAAGATGAAGATGGCTTGTAATGACCATTTACTATGTAAAACATTTTCTTTCGTAAACTTTTAACTTCGATGGTTCCAGCATGTAACTTATGTGTTCAATGTTATTTTTATCCGTCATGAGTATGTGTCAATTTCCTTAATAAGAGATGATATTTGACTTATGGGGTTAAGTAATTGAAGTATTGTTATTTACTTAGTAGCCTGCTGTAGAAATTATTGGCTTTAGAATGAGTGAGCTCAAGGGTCTTTCAAGATGGCGTTCTCATTATCTAGGTATTGGTTTGGATGAGACACTGGTGGATAATGCAGTAGAAAAGGCTGGAATGCTGCTTGTACAGGTTGAGGGATTCATGAGGGTGCTCTCATCTGTTGTGCAGCCGGTATGCCTGTTAAAATCTTTCTTATGATTTCTCTACCTTTCTTGATATCTTCTATTGGTGACTATTGTGATATCTTGCCTGTCTCTCATCATGTATGGTATCATGTCTTTAGTGACACTAAATTCCTAAATTTTAGACATGGAGTTGAACTATTTGTGGATAAGACACGATATTGGGTGCTCAGAATAACAAATAAATGTAAGTCAAATAGCATTTAATTAGTTGAAAAATGTGCTTCTTATCGACATTGTAAACGAGTCATTGTTAGACGGTGGCCCTTTACACATGACTTAAATCTGTTCAACAAGGTCCCTTTAGTTCTTGTTAAGTTCGTTACGGAATACTCGCCTTTTCACATGACTTGAACCTCTTCAACAAAGGTCCATTTAGTACATGTTAAGGTTATTACGGAATACTGACAATAACACGTTGTTTTGTTGATATTGTCATGCTTTTGAAAGAGCAAATAAGAGAAATTGCATGAATTTTTTGTATCTTTGCTTCCTATACCTCGCTCAACTTGGGGTTTGTTTGTACCTTTTCAATTCTCACATGCTACCCTAAAGAAGTGCAATCTTACTTGTTTCAAAATGAAAATAATTATTGTGCGACTGCTCAGATCTAGAGCAGGATCAGAATATTGGTAGGATCCTATGGAATTCTCGAGCCTACGGCATGCTTGTGGAATTTGCCCTAGGGGTGGAAAGCATTTTGTATTGGTTAATCATGTGCATGTTGCTGAAGCTTTTCCAAATTTCTTCAGTTGGCTTCTGAAACGTACAAAGCGACTGATGTCAAAGCCAAGTGATCAACTATTAACATACAATAGGTTTGTCTAACTTTTGTCAATCAGGGTCCTTCTTTGTGGTGAATTCCTATATACTCTTGTGAATTTCAACAGTGAACTTGTTGTCATGTTCTTGAAGGTTCTATATGATCAAGATAATGTTATGCCGCTTCTAGATCTATCTGAGGCTGATGAAGAAATTGACATTGATCCGTGAGTGATTTTCTCTTACTTGTTCTAGTTCCTAATTATATGTCCTTTAAAATATGGCACCTGGAACCCCAAAATCTTTAGTTGTTAGTTGTTTATACCCGATGGACATACCAAGTGGAATTTTTGGCATCATCAATTATAGAAAGCTTCCAGTAGAAATTCCATGTGTACTTATATCTTGAAAGTTAAACTTTTTCCTGTCATTTCAGTTCACATATACTTTTCCTTGGGCTGAGTTGTGACATGTCATTATTGTTGATAGAATGGCTAACCATTAAATTATAAATTTTCTCTTGTGAATTATCTGTGAGTTTTGCTCCTCCTTGGCTTTCTTAATGAATTTCATTCAGCTAATAAGAAAAGGTTTGCCTGGCCCTAGTTATAGAATCATATGTATCATCCAAAGACATCAAGCGAGACAGGATTCATAATTGGACATAGGATGACCTTATGATTCTACAGGTGGTGGGTCATCCCTTCGTCCTTTCTACCTGAAATTTGGTGAGGCAATGGCTTGGATACTGCGAGGTGTGATCATCTTAGTATTGCCTTCATGTACTCTAGCGGCTAATTTTGTTGGCCTTTGCTAGGTTGTGCAATCCATTTATATAGAATTAGAATATTAGGGTGTAATGCAATTTGGTCATGCGTTAAATGACAGATTGATATTGTGTCAAGCCTAGTATTATTTTCATGTGCTTCAGCGGCTGACTCATGCTTTAAGGCAATGTGACCAAATTAGTCGCCAAAACTGAGGATATGAATTAACGGACACCCGCCAAAGCCCTAAAGCTAGGATCTTTCCTGCAATAATACCTACAGGTTCTCCCAATTCTGTTTCATGACTGGAACAGGAAATACTTAAGAGCACTGCTCTTCCACTAGATGAAGTTGACTCGAGTTAGGGTGGTTTGCTGGGCTACAACTGTGGTTATTGTTGGTCCAGCACTATTTTAAGTAACCACATGATAAGAAGGATTGAAATTGACGGGTTGATTGTCGTTTCTCATTGGATTAGAAGGTCTCACATTCCAAAAGATCAAATGCAATTCCTTGCGCTTTTCTGCCTTGACATTTCTTGTCAGGTTAGTAAGATGTCTTACCCTCATTATTGTCTCGGAGAAAAAATGCAGAGAGTCAGAGAATTACTGCAGTTTGGAGGATTTGGGGACACCGAATATTTGCAGAGGACACTTGCAAAGAAATTTCAACAGATGGAACGCAGGTATTAGCAAAACAATTAGAAAGCTGAAATGTAATAGAATCTTTTTAGTGTATAGAAGTTCTTACTTGAATGTGTTGTTTATTGCTCTTTCATCATAAATTCTTCACATTAATGCTAATCTACTTTTCCATTCATAAATGTTCTTAAACATGCTACCTCAGTGGTAAAAATATGAACTATGTGATAAATCATTGCTGTTATCTGTTGTTTGAAGTGATTGCTTTTTCCCCCCTTCAAGTCTGGTCCTCATTGCTGATATGTGTACCAAATGTGAAATTCTGGACCTCTTTGTATGCATAACAGGAGTTTGAGTATGATTACCTGCGCTCAAAATTGGTTTCTGTAAACGTTGCAATCCTTTAGAAAAAGCCTTGTGCTTTTGGTTTTACTCAACTCATCAATTATTTGAGGTGAAATATTCATTTCTCGTTTGGCTGATTCAGGACTTCTGTTAATGGGGTTTGTCTGTAGATATTTCTATCCATATGCCTATTACCATAAAGTTGTACCTATATTTTTCATATCGTTGCCTGAGTGGCCAAAACCTCGAGACTATAATGAGAGAAGAGAGAAAGAAAAGGAAACCTTTGGGGTTTAGGGGTTGTCTTCTGGAGGTTGTCCTCAACAATGGTTTTTCACTTACCCTCTGTCCAATAATCTAGTTTTTCGTATTTGATCTCAGGTTTGATTACTTGACAATGTACATGGAAGCTTTAGTTGGGTGATCTTATCGGATTGGGCTCTTTGTTGAGCTTATGATCCTTGTGTATGGAAATACTGTATCTCATGTTTCCTGATTCGAATCTAATTTGATCATCACAGTTTCAAGGAAGTTGCCCAGATGCCTTTCTCTTCTATTTCAAAAAAGATACTTTGTGAGAATTCATTGCCACTATTCGCTCTTACGTCAGTTTCAGCATCCACCAGAGACATTCCCAATTCACTGTCCTTCTATGGGGTATATACCTTTAATCTGAAAATACAAATACTATCCGAGAGATCCACATGTGCGAGTACAACTACTTTTTCATGCTAATCATTTCTCGTATGGCTCTGCGAGATGACTCGAATTTGCTTGAGATCATATTTCCTTCCAAATACCTGACGAGTCTTTTTTAGATGTAACAAATTGTATAGCTATAGTGTGAGGACTTACCAATGATTTAAGCAATGTGAAGCGGGGAAGACCTTTGGAAGGATCTTGTTGTGCATCCCTCCTGGTCACTGTTGTGTGGATTTGGCTCTATATAAGGTAAAAGCTTGGAATATCATATTTTAAAGCCCAAATTTGCAAATGTGGCTAATATATTCTTTTGGAAACAGGAACATCAAATTGTTATGTTGCTAAATAAGATGAATGATACTCGCGAAAACTTGGGAGATACCGGGATGACGATCTTGCGGGCTAGTGACCTTGCATTTGTGCATATTGCGGGAACCGCTTGTGCAAATAACTGGGAGTTGTACCAATTGAAGGTAACTCGTGGATCCGGAGCTTGCATATTGATTTCTTACTGATAATATCCTGAGTTCTATTCCGATCATGTCAATTCACTATTTAAGACATTGATCACAAAAGGAAAAAACTAGCATATTGTGCTTTTCTGTCGACTCCTGTTCTTTTCAGAGTTTTAAGAAGTGGCTCTGATTGGACTGGGAACCAGACCTGTCAAGTCTGGTTTCCCAGCAGAAATGGTATTGGTCAAGAACTGGCGGTATTGACCCTGTTCAACCGGTAACCAGGTGTGCCTGTCAACTGGTACCTGGCAAATCTGTCAACTAGTCTGGACTAGTTCTTCTTTCTTCAATTTGTGGTGGATAATGACATCAAGCGTGTGTAATCTGTTTAGATTCTACGGTGCCTGCTGACTCACTGGGCTTCTTTTGTTCTGAATGTGTGTTATCTAATATATGCAGAGTATTCTATCAGATGACTTCACATGCAATCGGTTCAATCGGTCAAACCGGTAGAGCACGGTTCTACCTGTTTGACCGGTTGAACCACTGATCCCGTTTTAAAAACGTTTGTTCTTTTATTGTTCCTATTTATTATTTATCTGCTCTCCTCATCAGCATGTATACCAGCAGCTTAGTTTTTCCTCCTATGTGCATAATGCATATACATGCGAATGCATGCTTGCGATTTCAAAGGATGTTTTACTTTCTGCCTTACCGTAACTGCAAAAGTTCCAACATATCTTGACAGCTGGAGCCTTGTACTTTGTGTAGGTTAAGAAATGTGCATTTGATGGCCATAATGGGTTAGTAGTGCCATTTTTGCTTCTATTTTGTGAGGACATTTTTGCTTGGTTATATTATTCTCACTTTTGAAACACTAACCCGGTGAAACTACACATCTAGGACCCTATCTTGCGCCTGGAGATGGAGAATGAGAAGCTTCGCAGCATTCCCCATACTGTAGTTCCTCCCTTGTCAGTTAGTGGTAAGAACATTTTGACACTGTCATACTATCGAGCTAAGGATCAATTCATTGCGATGCCATCAATTGTGTAGCTCTGAAAAATTTTTCTTTGAGCTTCTTACCATGTCCATTTGCAGTTTTGGATGTCTGGAAACTTATTGTTACCCATACTCTTTCCTTTGTGCATCAATGTTTGATAAACTTGCCAGTGTCAGTAACAAATTTATCTAGTTGGCTGGGTGGTGGAACTGAATTAATCCTATCCATGCTCCTTGCTACATTTCCACTTAGAACCTACTCTTAAGTTAAAATGTGACTGGCATAGGTACATTGTGCCTCCTTAATGGACCACTTCATGTTTGTTCCTACAGATTGAAGTTGTGCAAAAGTATGCTCCAAAGAAGAACATTTTTTCAGTCTAAGAGGTAAAATACTGAAGTATTAGTTTTTCCCCTAAATTTTAAATCAATTGAGAGGACAAAGTGCGGAAAGGATGAATCTATAGTCGCCAGACAAATACAAAAAGAAAAATCATCCTATTATGGTAGTTGCATTGCAGTCTGAGTTACCGACTAAGAACCACTGTGTACTGTAACAGCCCGAATTTTGATGTAATTCCGGGATCAATAAAATTGACAATATTTCGCATTTCATTTTTGTAAGTCTCGCCCGGAGCTGATCACTCTTGGGATACTAACCAATGGGGTATGGCTAACTAGGAAACGGCGCGTGGACTAGGGACTCGATAGTGAACGGGACACCGATCTCGAGATATGATGAGGGAATATTTTGGGCCAACATGGGCCGATCTTAGGAAAGGTGATGGATTTGGTTTGGCCAAGGCCAACGATGTACAATCGGATCGCAGGTGATTCTGCAAGACCGAAAGTGCACGTGACCAACCAGTCCTGAACCTGAACCGAACGATCGCGACCTCTGGAACTAGTGATGATTTCTCATTCTCTCAATGATCGAGACCGTTGTAAGTCGAATAACCCTAGGTCGATACGCGTAGATCCTAAACAGCCGCCCATTAGTGAGAGACCCTGAAATTGAAAGTTTAGCGAGTTTTGTTCACGGAATTGGGCCCGGATTTCGATGCCGATTTTCGAAGGCTTAAGAGACTATTTTTGGGAATCTGACGTCGTATTACGTTGGCCACACACGTTTGGAGTTAGTACGAGTAAAAAGTGGAATTTCGGTCCGAGAGTGAAAAATTACGGTTTTGCCCCTGTGGGCACCGAGGCTGGATTCGGAGGCCGTTTGAGGTTATTTTTCACGGCCAAGATCATTTTGGGGTGGCCACGCACATTTAGAGTGGTTTTGGCCAAAAATTGGAATTTCGACAAAAATTGGAAAAATAATATTATTTTATTCCCGAAACTTCGCAGTCGATTTTCGAGGGCTTAGAAAGTGAATTTCACGAATCCGATGCCATATTATGTTGGCCACGCACATATGGAACACGTATGTGCGAAAATTGGAATTTCGCCCCGGGACCGGAAAAATGACGATTTTGCCCCTGGGCTATTTTCGGGTCCGAATTTTTTGGGATATTTTTGGGATAATTACCAGAGGTTATCAGCTGCATTATTGGCACCAAAGACTTAATTGCCCCTCAATTATTTAAGCCTATCTCTTTAGAACCGTTAGATTAGGGGCGTTTTGGTCAAAACCGCCGGATCGGCGACACTTGGCGCCCCTAGTCTACAATGTTTGACCAGAATTAAACCCTCTCTCTCTCTCTCCTCAGCTCCCCCATTCGGCAGAACCACCCAGAACAGCCCCCACCAGCTTTTTCTCTTCCATTTTCTCTCTTTTTCTCTCTTGTTTGGCCTTGCCGGAGCAAGCCGACGGCCACCGGAGCGCCGCCGCCGGTCGCCGTGCCTCGCCGTCGACCACCTCAGCCCCCAGCCTGAGCCTCGCCTCCGTCCGACCCCTTTCCCTCTCTCTTTCCCTCTCTTTTTCTCTCTTTTTCTCTACCGGGTTAGCACCGCCGCCGCGTCGGAGCCTCGCCGGAGCTTCGCCGGAGCTCGGATTGCCGTTCCGTCGCCACCCGGCCCGTCCGGCCCACGGCAGACGACGCCGACCGTACCCGTCCGTACAGTGTCCGTACGGACGGTACTGTAGCGCCCCCGTACGGTCGCCGTCCGTACGGCCGTCGCGCCGGCCACCGGTACCTCGCCGGCCACCGTCCTCCGACGTCCGTACGGTTCCGTACAGGTCCGTACGGTTCCGTACGCCCACCGTCCGTAAACCGCCGGCCGCCGTCCGTACCGTCCACCGGGAATTCCGCCGCCGGTTTCACTGTTCACCAGTAATCGGCCGCCGTTCCTCGTCGTCGTGATCTTGGATTAAGTGAGTAAAATTCCTAAATCCGGATTAGGACTGTTAGTGCGTTTTTCTGGACTGGTTTAGGTATTATCGGTGCATTTTGGACTGGCTTAGGTAGTATCATTGTATATTTCAGACTGGGATGAGGACTGATTGGTAGAAATTATTATTGGGAAAATTTAGTGGATTAATGAGAAATTATTGGGGAGGATAATGGGGTTTAATGACCAATTTAGGAGCTCGTTAGTGAAATTGCCGGGTATGCCCGGGTTGACTGATTGTACGTCAATTGTGCTTAATTGTGGTTGATTTCGTACTGCTATGTCGTATGTGGTGTGGCTGATTTTATGGAGTGCGATTGGCCATTGTTTGGTTTACAATGAATTACTTATTTGTGAATCGCACGTTAGGCCACACGGTATTAATTGGGCCAATTAAGCACGTGTTGTGACATTGGGTGTCTGAATTATATTGGTGCTCGTGGTGCATTGCATTGCATAACATGGACACGCATTGCGTATGTCAAGAGTGAGGCATGTGATGAAATTGTGCGAGAATGCGTGTCTGCCATGAGCATGTGATCACCTAAAATACCCTGAAGCGTTATACGCTGGGTTCAGATAATAATGAGTTGTGTGATCACCTAAGGACCTTCGGGTCGATACCGTCCTCATGCACTTTGAAGCAGGACGATGCCCGGTACGTCCGGAAGGCGACCATCCTCATGCACTTTGAAGCAGGCTCTGGTTCGCAAGGAGAACAGTGTTGCGCCTCATGCACTTTGAAGCAGGCTAGAGACACTGAGCCAGATCGGTTGCTGTGCCTCATGCACTTTGAACCAGGCTAGACGCACCGGGCCGTGAAAAATTGATGACTCGAGTCGTAATAAATAATAAATTGGGCGATTGCCAGTGTGCCAGTGTGGGCCAGTGGGCCGGGAAATACACGTGACATGTCGACGACATTTGCATGCATGAACATTCATGGACTGGCATGCGAGTGTGTGAGACTCGGTGCATGAGCATGCGATTGGCGTACGTGTGATAATGTGTGCCACGTACGTGCCGTGACTATTATATATTGAACTGCCTAACCTGCAGGGTCAGAGAATTATTTGATTGTGTTGCATTATGGTTTCAAATATTTATTTTCCGGTCAGGAGATTGCATGCTAGCCTAGCCTAGGTTTAAGGGTTGAACTCACTGAGATTCGTCTCACGGTTGTGTAAACCGAAACATTTCAGACCCCCAGCCGTAAGGATGCCGAACCCGCCACTTTTTGGAATACCTGTACAGATACACCAGTATACCAGTACATACCCCGCAGGAAATGGGGAATCCTATGTAAGATATAGATCCGTGGTGTTTGTAAACGTGGGAGAGTACTTTCATCAGACCCAGGAGTACATAGCCTGGTGCTTGCGAGATGCAGACGGAAACCTAGGGCAACCCCTGAGGACGTTTGATGCGCCAATCGGTCACAATGGATTGATGGAACCCATATATGCGAATGGCGAAGTGATCAATCCTCAGGATGTTCACGATATAGATGGCGTTGACGAGCCTATGGATGAGGAGCCACAGGAGCCACAGGTGATAGCTGATGATCAGGACCCAGATGCCGAAGAGGAGCCGGAACCCGAACCGATGGAACAAGACTCAAGCGAAGATGGAGAAGTCGCTGAGGTAGGATCTGATGAAGAGCTGGGAGTAGACGACGAGTTAGGTCTCTACCTAGATCCAGAGTTGGAACCGGACTCCGAAGATGAGCGAGCCCAAGCCGGAGATATGGATTCTGAACCGTCCGAGTCTTCAGAGAATCCTTCAGAGGAACCGTCGGACGAAACTTCTGGATCTTCCGACCATGAGTGGGAACCCTAGGTATCCGGAGCCATAGCTAGTAGTGAGGGCTGGTAATTTTTTGACTGTAGCCCTCTCTTTGAGTTAGTCTGACCTCCCTAGCCACTTCCCTTTTTGACCCCGTGGCTTGCAGATCGTATAGGTGGGGACTTATATCTTTTCCTGATTATGTATAGATGTTTGTAAAGAAGTTTTCTATAGCAATGTAAAGTGCAAGTATGTTCCCTCGTTGGTTGCTTGTTGGTTATCCTTGGCTCGTATTTTATAATTGTCAGGGTTGTTTTTAATTGCTTCCGCTTGTGCTTGTTCTCTGTTTGGCGTTGGGTCGGCGACGCTTCCTGGGACGTCGCACTGCAATCGACCAAGGTAGGGATGTTAACGCTTCGTAGGGTACGGGGCGTGACATGTACAATTTCATGATGATAGATCAAGATACTGTATTCATAGTTTACATGCATGCCAAAGCCTCTTTAGGCACGCAAGGTTTGCTTCCCGCCTGTGTTTTAGCATAATGCATGTGTTGTACTTTTACTTTTACCCAGCAAAGGTATCTAAACATCACGTTAGCTATGGCCATATATTCAAGGAACACCAGACTGAAATCAAGTTGATGTTTTTTTGGCAACAGCAAGTAGAGGTGTGGCTTGTGTTTTAGCTGCAAGAATGCAGGCCCTGGTCTACATACTGGACAAGGATGAAGATGAAATTTCTGATTCAGAATGACGGTTTGTTCAAGAATTTGTGGTGGTTATGCCTGTGTCGTTCCAGTGGGTGAACCTCTTAAGCCTTGAAGGTGCAGACATCAGTGTGAGAAGCAATGCATGTGGGCTTTCTTACCGAAGCGCTTCCACTCCACCCTTCTTGGAGAGTCTTAATTTATGCCTGCCATGTGCCTTTTCTGCTAGGCAGGCATTTGTCAAAGAGGAAGATGGAGTAAAAGGTAACTATTTATCTATCGAGTTAGATAGAATTGACCGAAAGATGCTGAGTCATGGCTTCTATCCGGTGGTAACTGTCTTCGTGGTATTGTTGCAAGCTGTGAGACCTACTCGATAGTGCCAAGCTTTTGCTTCATCTGTATATGTTTATTATTTTCATTTGTAAGAGAACCAAATGTTTGGTTTGGATTATTATACTTTGGGTTGAATGGTAAATGGTTCACGCAGTGTACTCGACTAACGAACTTTTTATTTGAATGTTGAAATCTCTCACCCGAGATTTCACGTGTCATTGTTAAGTGATGCATCCCATCCGATGCACAAAATACATTCTTGTGTGGCACATGACTAACCAGATATATATATGGTTTCAAGGTGGTAGTAAAGAATATATGCTATATTCCAATCTTAGAGATTTGGAATCCTCAAATAAATGATTGGTTTAAGATATTGATATTATGTCTACAATATCGTTAATGGATTTCACATTCTCAGTAAAGAGTATCATGTAGTCTTTTTAACTTAATGATGTATAAACATTCAGGAATCTATACTTACCAAAAAAAAAACATTCAGGAATCTAAAATTGTTTAATTGCATTATTCTTTCTCTTGGAATTATTGCCAATCTCGAGGAGAAAGAATGTGTGAATGTAACATGTGCATATGTGACAATTCTCTTCTTATTTTTATTATTTATCGTGATGATAGCTTTTTGTGAACTTTAGCTGAATGTACTCTAAAATTAAATCCTCCTTTTTTCATCACCCTCTCAATTCTTCACGTCTTAAATGAATTTACTGGGTATTTCAACATGAGCAAGCCCTCTTATCATCGTAGCCCCATGAATTTGTACAAGGATTCGAACTTGTGATCCAACGTATGGTCGCCACTCGCATTTAAAATGCACGGGAAAATTGCAGGTTGTCCCTCTAGCGGGTGACACGTGTCCCTGACCTCGTCGTCTCCCTTCCCCTGGCACGACACCCCATTCGTGGACAGCGTCTTGATCGTCTGTACGCGTCGCCTAGTGTCAGGAAGTTCTTCATCGACATTGAATTTCTCGACTATTGGACGCCTATTCTCAGCCCGTGGCTTCATTTTGCTGTCCATCGCCATCCCTGAGGATCTTTCTGTTAATGTGGATACGAGGCCGTGCGAGTGCAGTTCCACTGCTCCTTTACGGATGCTCTTCGTTGGTAAATCTGCATTTAAGGCCCTGTAGATGCTCATGTAGTGGGAGTATCACTCGGAGTAATCTTAAGTCCCTGTCCATCTGCTGCTCGGAGGTCACTGATGAGGTGATGCATGAGACCTTGAAGGGTGTTGGAAGAATGCCGCGGTTTGAAGCAAAACATCATGCTTTGTTGGAGAACTTTGAGGGAAATTGTGATCGCTTTTTGCGCTTGGTATGTGTCACACCCCGAAATCTACCAGGATGGGGGATGACACGGCCGTCCTTCCACCTGAAGGACGCAACCTCAAATCACCCAAAAGTCCCCATGACATCACTCTCGCTCTATTGGCTGCTAAATAAAGAACCTGAAAGATTGGGAAAAGAGGAGGGTGAGCAACGACAGCTCAGTAAGCAGTGCGTATCTCTTCTAAACAGATCGAGCAACTACTATGCATATATAAAAATATCGAAAACTCATAATTCAAACCCACGATATCATATACATATCATATCAAATATGAGTTATTTTTCCTTTTCACAAAACTCGATACAAACTAGAAAACACTCATTTAAATCAATAATATCAAAGCAAAAACCAATGGTCTATTCCATTGGTCAATCTCATCAAAAAACACACGCCAGTGGTCCATTTCATCGGCCAATCTCAAATCACACATCAATGATCTATTCCATTAATGAATCTCATCATAAAAGGCCTCGTTCGGGGTAGAGGCGTAACCGCACTGCCATCCCTCAACCCGACCCGATATTATCCTTTTTGAGCTGCAGCCGCACTGCCATCGCTCTCAAGGATTTGCCCCGGCATAGGAGAAAACACATCGATGGTCTATCCATCGACCAATCTATTGCTCGATATCAAACCATGATCACGTATCTCGCCACGTGATAAGGCGACCAAGATTCCCCCCTTGGCAAGGTCTCCACCTACTATAAGCCGGTGGCTCGGCCCATAAGAATATCCTAGACTAGTATGCGCATACCCACAAACCCCTCAATGGGCTCACAGCGATATTGAGTACCAACACACATCCTCAAATAATCCACAATACCAAATCCAGAAATCATTTCATAACCCATATCATAAATCACAATATGGTTCCGAAACCATTTCATAATCCAATTTATAATCAATCTCAGAAAATGGTTTCGCAAACCAAAACGTATAATCTTTCTTCGTCAAACAGAACACATTTCACAAATCAAGTATATGATATTTCACAACTCAACTCAACTCAACCACCAGAAATCCTTTTTGTAAAGTGTTTCTCAAATCATTCGAAAACTCATTTCATAAATCAATTCACAAAGGGGTACACATATATCCTTTAATAATACATTTCATACAACCGTTCTCAAATCTCTCTCAAATACAAAATGGCAGTAATTACTCGATCCAGATTTTTATGCACTAAACATGTTTATTAACTCATACGATACTCAAATACTTATCACTTTCAAAGCATGAATTTATAAACCCAAAGAAGAGATAGCACCACTCACCTGGAATGCCCCAAAACCAATAACGCGGCTAAACGCCCCGATAATCTCGTAATCCTATCAATTGAACGATAATCGACATCAAAACCAAGTAAAATACTACAATAATCACTAAACAGCTAAACGACGTTTAAACGCTGACAAGACAATTCAAAAACGCCCACAAATTGCTCATCCAAAACCATTATCCAAATCGTCCGCAACGCGGAACTTGAGCGCGAAACTTGATTGCACCATAACTTTCTCCACCGAACTCCGATCCTAGCAAACTTATAGTCAAAAGAAAGCCCGTTCCGAGTATTACAAAAGCCCCAACTTGGCCGTCCCAAAATCGAGCCGAAAACCGACTAAAATCGGCCTAAAGCCCACTGGTCGCGCACTATTCACCATGTGCGGCCAACTTCAAAAATTCATATTGGGCAAACCGTAAGTCCAAATCAAGATCCGTAAAATCCCACGGCTCCACAACACCACAAACTATCAATTCTATAAAAATACGCAACTCTACGACCCAAAAATCAGACTTCGTCGCTTGAATCTCTTATAATTCTTAATTTCAAGCCCTAAATCCGAAACTACTCCGATGGAACAAACGAGGGACATGAGTTCTTACCGAGCGTTGCGATACGAAGTCGGATCGGCTAGGCGAGGTTCGCGCGGCGCAAAACCCTCCTTTTCTTCTGCTTCTTCTTCTTCTTCTCTTCCTCTCTTTCTTTCTTTTCCGTTTCTGCTTTCTCATCTCGGCCTCCTTTTTAATTTGGCCGAAGTCCACTGTAGCTTCTGTTGACTTGTTGACTTTTTTTTTTTCACGAAAGCCCACACTCTTTGCTGAAGCTTCCATGGTTCTCCTTTTGCTTCCTCCACTATTCTCTTCTTTATTTTATTTTATTTTGACTTAGTCAAAACCCATATTTTACAGTATGCACTTGATGAGGGTTTCCCATTGGAGCGTTCGAGTCCTCTTTTGCTGCCGTTGCATTTGAGTGGGTCGTTTGGTATGATGAGGCAGCTGGTAATTGAAGCCTTATCCTTGATTAAAGCTGAGTCGAAATACTCTCTTTTTTTTTTTTTTGAGACGTGAGGATTTTGGAATGCAAATTGATTGTTCTGTTCGAAATTGGTTCGAGTCTTGCAGAGGTATTGCAGCCTGGTTGAGGGACTGCCTCAGAGGCCTCAGAATGCAACCGAGCTTTTGATTGGTAATTGGTGCTTTCAGGCGAGCAAATTGTTTTTTATTTCAAATTTAGCCCATTTGTAGTTTGAGGAAGTTCATCCTAAATTTTATTTCACCGGAATCTGGTTTACATTGTTTGCAAATCTGGTTTACATTGTGCCTTCAGAATAACTTACCAAAAGACCAAAGAAAAAGCAGCTGGTGTAGGGTCAGTCCATATCCGGCTCAGTAGGCATGGACACGGAGAGCGTTCGCCGCTCGACTAGGGAATAATTCCGTATGTTCGAGTTCGATAATAAATCATCACAAATTGGAAAATAAGAAAAAAATGGAGTGTGGTAAGGGGGTGGATTTCGGGTGGTGATGGCAAACGACATGGTCGAGTATTTTTATCCGGCTGAGTGTTTGGAGCTTGGGTGGTGACAGCAAATGGCTTGGTCGAGTTCGAGCTTTGGCCCGTCGTCTCGACATTTAAGCATGCGTGAATGTTCACTCTTGTAAGATGCCGATTTTGAATAATTCGTTAGCATATGTTTTTTTTTTAATTCAAAAGTAAATGAGGATGATCACATTGCTTTTTTTCCAAATTACATTTCAATAACTAATCCACCACCACATGAGCAGCAATGTGATGTCCCATGAGTCTGACGTGGCGGGCCTTTACGATGTTTGACAAGCGGAGGAGGAGGGCTTTGTTAGGGTGCGCAACTGGATTACCGTTGAACATATGGACCCGAATTAAACGATATCGTTTATTAGACAAACCTGAACATCATGCTGTATGACATTATTTGTAGATTGACACGAATTAAGGCTCCTTTTGTTCCGCGAAGAATGAATGACTTGGAAAATATATTTATAAAAGTGATTGCTTGTATTGCTTGAAATAATTGATCAATGAAATACGTCTCATCATCGATAATAATTTATGTCTAGATATTTTCATGCATGATGAAAATTTCTTGTGTTCTCATATATTTTGCAACCGTACGAGCGATTATTTTTTCAAAAATATTTTTCAAATTGTTCGCTTTCTGCGAAGGATTTCAGTTGGCAATTCAATACATATCACTACTTTGGAAGTGATTTCAGCTTTATCTTTTCAACTTATAGATAAAGGTGTAGCAATTTGATCCGTCGCAGAACTCATGTGATTTCAACACACAAGTGTACATATGCGGGCTATATGCAATCCGAAGATCGACACACAAATGGATGGACCACTCGATCCGCGCTCAACTTATAGATTTTCCTCTTTTCATTTTTAATCAGCAACGACGCATGTTAGCTTACAAAAGCGCATCGTTTTTGTCTATAGCAGAATCCACCGGATCAAAATTCTCGTTCGCAGCAAAAAAAAAAGTTTGTAAAAAGCAAATAGGATTTCGTAAAAGAAATGCCTAAACACTTGTTAAGCGACCATACGAATAAACTTCACGATTATCAAATGCGCTTCTTTTCTCATTCATTTTTTCATCTTCTTTTTCTTTTTCGCGCTACCGTGCTGGTCTGTTAGGAGTTTTTTTTTTCTTTTTTTCTTTTGAGAATTTTTGCGATTGTATTTCTGAATAATTTTGGAGAGCAATTATCAAACGTTCATATCAGGTATAAGCAATGCAAAAAAAAAAATGAATGAAGATAAGATAGACGATGACGTATTGGCAGCAGAACACATCCCATCTCGTCAATCTTCATTTGGCTTAGCAAAAAGGAGACAAGGGTAAAAAGAAACTTCTTGATCTCCATCGTCCTCGTAACGAATTTCAAGGAACAAACTATTAGGTACTCTCCGAAGATTACTGACCATAGATTGGAGCTTTCTTCCATTGGAATAACGAAGATTATAACAAAGTCCGGTGCTTTCGGAACCGATCGGCAGACGATCACGCACGTTCCAAAAGAATTCACGACCCATTTGGTACGGGGAAACGGAAGGTGCGAAGTTAGAAACGAAACGGAGAAATGAACGAAACGGAAAGAGGAATAGAGTCAGCGTTTGCCTTTCCGCATTTGGTGGTGATTATAAGAATTAACCTATTGTTAATTCAAAAGATTCATATTCCAATGTGAAACGAAACATGTCCTTACTTCTTAAGAGAAGATAACGGTACACTTGTTGGGAGCTCGAGAAAGCTGTGCGCTTTTTCACGAGAGATGGTGGCTGCGGTTTCCGGCTGCTTGGCGGAGCTTTCTAGCCATGGAGACCAACGAAGAAGGGTCGCCGGCGAGTGCTTCCGTTTCAGGTTCAAGTTCGACAAACCCCGCTTTCTTCCTGATGGGCGGGTCGATTCGATTGTCTTCCGATTCGGTTTTGGTGAGGCTGTTGCTCGATTTCTTCCGGTTGGCGGCGGGCGGTTGAAGATGGCGTGAGCGGAATCCGGCGAAGGATTTGATGGCCACGGTCGCACGGAGGACTCAGAAGGAAGGTGCGGGGGTGCTTCCTCGCTTCGATTGGCAAGAGGCTGAGGACCATCTCTCCTGGTAATTTGTGGGTGTCTTCAGCGATGGCTTGGTGCGTGCCCCTTTGAGTCACTGGCCTTATCTCCTTTTGCTTTTCCTAAATGTGTTACGCTCCTTTTCCCCAAATAAACCACTTCAATTGCCAATCTAGCTCAAATTGCGTTTGATGGAGAGTTGGTGAATATTGAGAGGTAAAGTGCTCGAAAGTCTGATTGAGAACACGACGTCGAACTAAGAAGTTGGTGTTTGACACACAAATGAAGAGTGAATGATATGGAAATGAGAGTGAAAATTTGGATATGACATAGTTGCAAGTAACGAATCCCAAGCTGATATTAGTTGAATGAAGGGATGTTTATTTACAGGCGCGATAGATTCTTATCAACTTCTAGACAAGATTGGTGCCTTAGGAGATTTCCATAACCTTACTGACAGTCATCTAGACCAACCGCAAGTGTACCATACTCCTGTATTGCCATCTTGTTGCTCTTTTCGGTACAGCAGTTAAAGTGTCCATGAAGATATAGAACTCAAATCGGAGGGGATGTCATTTATGATGGATAGACTAGCTATGTCAGATGCAGAAATGCTTGCTGCCCACGTGGAGTTGGCTGGTTTAACCCCTGCAGAGTACCATCACAATGTCGTCAGGCATCTATATAGTTTTCCTTCAATTTCTATTGGTGACTTTCATGATGTAATATTACATCTGGCTCCTCTTCTTGTACTGATTGAGCGTTCCTACGGGGAGAGATTTAGTACAGGCTGGAAAGTTTCTCACATTTTGTATTGCTAAAATGTAGAATCTAGTCTGGAAAGTTTCTCACATTATGTATTACTTGAAGTTAAATTTATCTTCTTCTGTTTACAGAGGGGCATTTCGTCACATCATTTTGATAAATCAAGTTCGTTGTTGGGAACTTAACTTACTTGTGTGAATAGGATATAACCCTTTTATCTCCTCCTTCCATTCTCATTTCTCCCTCAAATCAAACGTCATGGCTATCACGCTTTGCCCCTCCGATCGTCTCTCTCATGCTTTCACGACATAAAGATGAGTGCGGTCTCGAGTTCTCTGGCTTCAGTGAGAAATCCCTGAGCACAGCTCTCATCAAGAAAAGATCTCCTTTGATTTCGTCCGTCCATTTGATGTGTTTTCGTAGCTCAGGATCTGCTTGCTGTTTTACACTGATTGTTCACTTTGATTCGTGTTTGATCCTAGAAAAGCTGAATAGACAATGTTTTTGGTGGACCGTGAGATGAAGAGAAAGCAAATGCCTGTAAATCAGTGTTACTAACTCTTGTACCAGTGTGCGTGGGTCTCTACTGTTGCATTAAGTAGCCTGCAATGAGTTTATCAAGCTCGAGACTTGTGATTCACTGCAGATCATACTGAAGAACTCAAGTGTTTGTGGCCATCTGCCTTATAATCCCTTGAGACAAATGAGGCACTTTTAATCTCTTAGTAGCTTTATTATGCCATGTGAGTTCAGTGAAACATCATAGCTTATGTTTGATCTCAGGTTTGATTACTTGACAATGTACATGGAAGCTTTAGTTGGGTGATCTTATCGGATTGGGCTCTTTGTTTAGCTTATGATCCTTGTGTATGGAAATACTGTATCTCATGTTTCCTGATTCGAATCTAATTTGATCATCACAGTTTCAAGGAAGTTGCCCAGATTCCTTTCTCTTCTATTTCAAAAAAGATACTTTGTAAGAATTCATTGCCACTATTCCCTCTTACATCAGTTTCAGCATCCACCAGATACATTCCCAATTCACTGTCCTTCTATGGGGTATATACCCTTAATCTGAAAATACAAATATTATCCAGAGATCCACATGTGCAGAGTACAACTACTTTTTCATGCTAATCATTTCTCTGTATGGCTCTGCAGGATGACTCTGAATTTGCTTCAGATCATATTTCCTTCCAAATACCTGACGAGTCTTTTTTAGATGTAACAAATTGTATAGCAATAGTGTGAGGACTTACCAATGATTTAAGCAATGTGAAGCGGGGAAGACCTTTGGAAGGATCTTGTTGTGCATCCGTCCTGGTCACTGTTGTGTGGATTTGGCTCTATATAAGGTAAAAGCTCGGAATATCATATTTTAAAGCCCAAATTTGCAAATGTGACTAATATATTCTTTTGGAAACAGGAACATCAAATTGTTATGTTGCTAAATAAGATGAATGATACTCGCGAAAACTTGGGAGATACCAGGATGACGATCTTGCTGGCCAGTGACCTTGCATCTGTGCATATTGCAGGAACTGCTTGTGCAAATAACTGGGAGTTGTACCAATTGAAGGTAACTCGTGGATCCGGAGCTTGCATATTGATTTCTTACTCATAATATCCGGAGTTCTATTCCGATCATGTCAATTCACTATTTAAGACATTGATCACAAAAGGAAAAAACTAGCATCTTGTGCTTTTCTTCGACTCCTGTTCTTTTCAGAGTTTTAAGAAGTGGCTCTGGTTGGACTGGGAACCAGACCTGTCAAGTCTGGTTTCCCAGCAGAAATGGTATTGGTCAAGAACTGGTGGTATTGACCCGGTTCAACCGGTAACCAGGTGTACCTGTCAACTGGTACCCGGCAAATCTGTCAACTAGGTCTGGACCAGTTTTTCTTTCTTCAATTTGTGGTGGATAATGACATCAAGCGTGTGTAATCTGTTTAGATGCTACGGTGTCTGCCGACTCACTGGGCTTCTTTTGTTCTGAGTGTGTGTTATCTAATATATGCAGAGTATTCTATCAGATGACATCACATGCAATCGGTTCAATCAGTCAAACCGGTAGAGCACGGTTCTAACTGTTTGACCGGTTGAACCACTGGTCCCGTTTTAAAAACGTTTGTTCTTTTATTGTTCCTATTTATTATTTATCTGCTCTCCTCATCAGCATGTGTACCAGCAGCTTAGTTTTTCCTCCTTTGTGCATAATGCATATACATGCCAATGCATGCTTGCGATTTCAAAGGATGTTTTACTTTCTGCCTTACCGTAACTGCAAAAGTTCCAACATATCTTGACAGCTGGAGCCTTGTACTTTGTGTAGGTTAAGAAATGTGCATTTGATGGCCATAATGGGTTAGTAGTGCCATTTTTGCTTCTATTTTGTGAGGACATTTTTGCTTGGTTATATTATTCTCACTTTTGAAACACTAACCCGGTGAAACTACACATCTAGGACCCTATCTTGCGCCTGGAGATGGAGAATGAGAAGCTTCGCAGCATTCCCCATACTGTAGTTCCTCTCTTGTCAGTTAGTGGTAAGAACATTTTGACACTGTCATACTATCGAGCTAAGGATCAATTCATTGCGATGCCATCAATTGTGTAGCTCTGAATAATTTTTCTTTGAGCTTCTTACCATGTCCATTTGCAGTTTTGGATGTCTGGAAACTTATTGTTACCCATGCTCTTTCCTTTGTGCATCAATGTTTGATAAACTTGCCAGTGTCAGTAACAAATTTATCTAGTTGGCGGGGTGGTGGAACTGAATTAATCCTGTCCATGCTCCTTGCTACATTTCCACTTAGAACCTACTCTTAAGTTTAAATGTGACTGGCATAGGTACACTGTGCCTCCTTAATGGACCACTTCATGTTTGTTCCTACAGATTGAAGTTGTGCAAAAGTATGCTCCAAAGAAGAACATTTTTTCAGTCTAAGAGGTAAAATACTGAAGTATTAGTTTTTCCCCTAAATTTTAAATCAATTGAGAGGACAAAGTGCGGAAAGGATGAATCTATAGTCGCCAGACAAATACAAAAAGAAAAATCATCCTATTATGGTAGTTGCATTGCAGTCTGAGTTACCGACTGAGAACCACTGTGTACAATTTCATGATGATAGATCAAGATACTGTATTCATAGTTTACATGCATGCCATAGCCTCTTTAGGCACGCAAGGTTTGCTTCCCGCCTGTGTTTTAGCATAATGCATGTGTTGTACTTTTACTTTTACCCAGCAAAGGTATCTAAACATCACGTTAGCTATGACCATATATTCAAGGAACACCAGACTGAAATCAAGTTGATGTTTTTTTGGCAACAGCAAGTAGAGGTGTGGCTTGTGTTTTAGCTGCAAGAATGCAGGCCCTGGTCTACATACTGGACGAGGATGAAGATGAAATTTCTGATTCAGAATGACGGTTTGTTCAAGAATTTGTGGTGGTTATGCCCGTGTCATTCCAGTGGGTGAACCTCACGCTTTCACGACATAAAGATGAGTGCGGTCTTGAGTTCTCTGGCTTCAGTGAGAAATCCTTGAGCACAGCTCTCATCAAGAAATGATCTCCTTTGATTTCGTCCGTCCATTTGATGTGTTTTCGTAGCTCAGGATCTGCTTGCTGTTTTACACTGATTGTTCACTTTGATTCGTGTTTGATCCTAGAACAGCTGAATAGACAATGTTTTTGGTGAACCGCGAGATGAAGAGAAAGCAAATGCCTGTAAATCAGTGTTACTAACTCTTGTACCAGTGTGGGTGGGTCTCTACTGTTGCATTAAGTAGCCTGCAATGAGTTTAGCAAGCTCGAGACTCGTGATTCACTGCAGATCATACTGAAAAACTTGAGTGTTTGCAGCCGTCTGCCTTCTAATCCCTTGAGACAAATGAGGCACTTTTAAACTCTCAGTAGCTTTATTATGCCATGTGAGTTCAGTCAAACATCATAGCTTATGCTTTCCATGTCCATGATAAATGGTTGATTAGCGAATGATGCCGCTACATGTAAATGGCATTTTATGAATAGCTTTGGGAACAGTGAGAAGACTTCTATTGAGGGGAGGGATGAAATTAAGAGGCATAATTGATCTCTGTTGTACTTCTTTTCAGCTGATATCTTAGCTGGAGAATTAGGTATGTTCAGTTTATCATAACTGGGGTGGTTGATGTCCATGATGATTATTGTTCATAGTAACTATGGTTTTATCGTGTAAAATGTCTAAGCTCAGCAAGTTTCAAACAAAGGACTAAGTTTTGCTATCCATTTACAGGTCAAGTGGGACTCAGTGTTTGCGAATGTAGACGAAGAGGAACATTGCCGTCAGAAGTTGTTTGTGGGTTTGGCTCAATATCTAAAGAGGGTTGAGATTGTTGGATTAGATACTAATTGTCTAGAACCAAAATTTGTGCTTTCCCGGTAAAGTTTTTCTAGATGATGCACTCATGTTGGAAAAGTTGGTCCTTCAAGTTAAAGAAATAAAAGGCATGAGTCAAAAGAAAAGCTAGTGAATCCTGACAAATTGCTTGAACTCTCCCCCTGCAACTTCCATGCCTCCCAAGAGCTTCTAAGAATGCCGAATTGATTTTAGGAGACATTCAGCATAACAAGCAGAAAGACAAGTAGAAACAAGAAGGTGTTATTGCATGCAGCATCGAGACAAAATCTGAAAGATGATTGTTTCTTTCCTTATTTTAGGATGTCTAAAGAGGGACATGGAAGTGAAAATCAGTTGGTCTGAGAATTGGTTGAGACTGTTCGCAGACAAAATTGACTTGCTATACATCTTGGAGGGAATTATCATTTTAGCAGCGAGAATGCAAAAGCATGGGCGGAAGTTCTTTCATTTGGTTCCAAACAGATTTTATCGTGCATGTTCGGTTTTACTTTTATATTTTATTCTCTTGAACTTGAGAGTCAAATTGAATTTTCACAAAAGTTCAAAAACCTCAAATTTTTGAAACATCTATATATCTTGGCATTTAAAGTCGCTTCAAGTTTCTTCCTAGTTCATTCCAAATTACGCTACAACTTTTGTTCTGGTATATAAATTCAAATGGTGCTAATTGACTGGCTTATCTTGGTGATAAGATTTGTGCTACTATTCTCGCGGTATTCATTGTAACTCTTATTTAGAACATTATTTCCAACGAACAAGAAATTATTCGTCCATGCAATGTTTTCAATCAAGGGTGCTTTCCCTTTTACTAGCTTTATTACTATCAAGCAGATGCAACCTTTTTTTCAGGGAAAATAACATATTTCAATCAACTCGGGGGGTGGAATACAAAAAACTGTAAAGCTTGCATGTACAGCTCACGGATTTTGACAGAGGATCATCTAGTAAGCAAATCCTGCTGGCCCAACTGTACTAGTGAACACTTTGATTCGGAATCTCATGATCCATCTTCCTCTTACAGGCAGTTGCTATTATTTTGGATGAACCTGTGAATATCTACTAAAATGAGTCTCGAAGGTTCATATTCATCAGCTAATAGAAGAGCGAGGAAAAGCATAGGGCAACTAGAGAGGGCAAATGTCATCCTCCCCAGTGTGATGGGTCATAGTGGAAGGAGGTGTGCCATATCAAATTGTATCCTGTGTTGTGCAGAGGATAGTCATGCGACCTGTTTCATGAGACTACTGTATAGATCGTGTATGTTCAACAAGGAGATTGAACCAGAAATTTTGTAGTGCAAATTGTAGGAAATGATTTCATTGCAGCTTATTTCGAGAGCATTTCGTTTTTTTTAAGTGATTCTTGGGAAAGTAAAGAGAAGGAATCTGAAAATTATCATCTTACTTGGTCAACGAGGTTAGTTGAGTATCTTATGGTTCCGAAGTTTATCTCTTAAGATGGACTTTCTCATAAAAAAAATCATTAAATATTGCGCGAGCTACAGCCGAGTCATTATATTCACGTGCTAGAGACAGTCTGGCAAATCAGAAAAGACAATATCACCAACTATCCAAAAGCCAACAAGCAACAACGCCACTAGCCAATACTAACGGCCAGAAACTTCAAAAACTCCAGAATTACACAGAACAAATCAACGATCATATCAACAAGCTTACAGCAAATTGCACACCATCAAATGCATATACTCCATTTAGAGCAAAGCTGCAGATGAAGATCAATCTAATCTTCCTCGCTACACTGAAGGCTTTCAAACCGATGCTTAACCTGATATTTAATTAAGTAAAGCACCATGTCAGGAGAAAACTGCCAATCGAGAGTGCAGGGTATCATTGCTTGCCTTCCAAAAGAAGTAGGCAGAAGTATTTCAGACGAATTTAAGCAAAATATTCTGAAGATCTTGCCCTTTCCAGCAAGTTTAATCCAGGCCACGGACATTGCAAAAGCCCTAGTCTAGACTTCATAAGAAAATTTACTTTGAGGGCCAAGATGTTTGTCGAGGGAAAAGTGCCAAAAAAGTCCTAACCCTTTTGTATTAATGCCAATTTAGTCCTAAACCTTTTTTTGGTGCCAATTCAGTCCTAAACCTTTTGCATTGGTGCCAAATTAGTCCTAAACCTTTTTTTGGTGCCAATTAAGTCCTAAAACTTTTAAATTGGTGCCAATTCAGTCCTAAACCTTTTATTTTTGTGCCAATTTAGTCCTTCCGATCAATTTTGATCGGAATTTGCTGATGTGGAGGCCTGCCGGCCGACGGCCGGTCACCGGCGCCGACGTGGATAAATTTTATAATATTTTAATATTTTTTTTGAATTTTTATTTTTTCCTTTTTTTTTCTTTATTTTCCACTTTTTTTTTTGGTCCCCCCTTCTTGCTTTGGCCGGTTGCCGGACCCGCGACCGGCCAGAGGCCAGAGGCCGACGAGCTCGACCTCACTAGCCACTGGCGAGGGCGAGCCTCACCTTGGTCGGGCGAGGCTCGCCGGCGGCGAGGGCAAGCCTCGCCATGGTCGGGCGAGGCCCGACCTCGCCGAATCTGGCGAGGCTCGACCTCGCCAGATCCGGAAAGGTCAGGCCTCGCCCGACCATGGCGAGGTTCGCCCTCTCTGCGGCCTCCGGCGAGGGCTCGAGCCTCGCCATGGTCGGGCGAGGCCCAACCTCGCCGGATCCGGCGAGGTCGAGCCTCGGCTGACCAAGGCAAGGCTCGCCCTCGCCGGGCGAGGCCACCGCCCTTGCCAGTGGCTGGCGAGGTTGGGCCTCGCCCGACCATGGCGAGGCTCGCCCTCGCCGGGCGAGGCCACCGCCCTTGCCAGTGGCCGGCGAGGTCGAGCTTGCCAGCCACTGGCCTCTGGTCGGTCGCCGAACCGGCGACCGACCAGAGGAAGGAGGAGGGGGACCAAAAAAAAAAGTGGAAAAAAAAGAAAAAAAAAGGAAAAAAATAAAAATTCAAAAAAAATATTAAAATATTATTAAACTTGTCCACGCTGCAATACGGATCACGGCCAAAGCCTCCATCGCGCAAGAAATTCGGCCAAAATTGATCTAAGGGACTAAATTGGCACAAAAATAAAAGGTTTAGGATCGAATTGGCACCAATTTAAAAGTTTTAGGACTTAATTGGCACCAAAAAAAGGTTTAGGACTAAATTGGCACCAATGCAAAAGGTTTAGGACTGAATTGGCACCAAAAAAAGGTTTAGGACTAAATTGGCACTAATGCAAAAGGTTTAGGACTTTTTTGACACTTTTCCCTATTTGTCGAACTTTTGGGCAATAAGCTGTAAAAAAAAAACAAGTGTGAAAAAATGTACAACATAAATACAAACTTAAAGCAGCACTGAATAGCATGCATATAAGGAATTATCAACACGATAAACTTAAAAGCATAAAGTCATGGCATTGCTTTTTGGTTACCAAACAATATTGTGTCATATTGATTTGGCTTTGGGTTAATTAAGAAAATGCGAAATCAATAAATTTGTTCGACCAAGAAAAAAATCAATAAATTTGATTAAATGATTCATTGGTAACTTGACAATCAAGTAGTGAGAAGAGTGGTGAGCCTAGTCGCTCATTCAAAATAAGAAATGGACAAAAACTTGGTAGAGAAGAGCGGTGGCCTCAAGTTACACAAGGACTGGTGGGACCCGGCCACCGGAAGAGGGGGTAGAAATAAAATTCTTATATGCTATCTAATTACAAATCACCCTTGGACGATTAAAACAAATGAAGCTCCTCGACTTACTCTTCCCTCTTTTTATACCGTCCTAATTCCCTGAAAACCCTCAAATTGAAGGTTCAATCTTAATTTTATCCCGAACCTTTTTTTTTCTCAAAAGATCCTCATCTTTAGCCCCAATGCTAAATTTGCCCCTCATATTTATGGCTAAAAAAAATTCCAACTTTATATCCAATCTCAACTCTACCCCGAACATTTTTTTTGTTTAAAAAAATCACTATCTAGTCTCAAATCTACCCCCATGAACCCTCCGTCCAAAAACTGTAATTAGTTGTTTAACGTGGCATTTCTATGTCAATAAAAAATCAACATCAAGTGA